GTGTAAAATACTTTGTGAAATAAAAGTGTATTTGCATCAATATTAATATTATTCATTAATGACAATCTGCAATAAAATTTGTTTCTTGCATCGTTAGGTTGTCTGCATTCAAAATGGAACAGATGGTCGTTTGCTATTAGAAATGTGCATGAACATGAAATATTAGCAATACTATTACGCATAAATACATCATAATTTGGATTTGTCTTAACCGGATCAATAGCATATAAGCTTGGCTATTACCAAATTCTCAATAACATGGATTATAATTTTTGCGCTAGTAATTTCTATTTTTGAAGGTTAGCAATGATAAACAATTTCTTTCGGATTATGGTAGACCATTTCATGAGTCGATATGTGCTGACATATATGACTCCTTGTAGAAATTAGGATCTACATTTGTCTTGAATTATATTATTGTAATTTCTCGGAATAATAAGGCATAAATTGCAAGTGAATCGGTTACTTAATCTGGAGACTGGATGTTGACAATTTTTTAAAAACTGCAGAGATTCTTCGATTTTCTGCTAGAGTTGGCCATTCAATTTCAAATAGAGGTCTTCTCTGCTAAAACATTTTGGAACTCCAAAAGTTATTCTGAATACTGACAAACTATAAGTTTTCACGTTTTTTTTTTTTTCAGAGCATGAGTTGTTAAGAAAAGCCATATTTCACATGCATATTCCAGAACTCGACGACCGTACATTAAATAATTATGTTTTGATAACACATATCTAAGTTATCCAGTTCGCATAAATAGAAAAAAATTATATTTTCAATATATTTTATTCAAGAGCAATTGCATAATAAACTAAACGCCATATCTCAAATGCATGTAATAAAACGATTTTTTTTCTACCGAAAATGCAAAGTCTGGTATGCATTGGATCACCCTGCTTGTGTAAAGGACGTGCTCTGATTTGAATGGATTAAAATTAACAAAATGCAATGCCGTTTCTTTTTGTCTTGATGGCAGGAAGTTTTGTAAAGAACAATTTGATTTACATTAGCATTAGTCCTTAAATAATTTCGTATTGAGAATGACATAAAATTTGAAATATGGATTTATTCTAATAGTTTTTATGTATTCTCGTTATATTCCCTGATAAATTATAAATTAATATATACTTTATAATATTTTCATCCACTCTGAATGAAATTGTTTTATCCTTTACTCAAAATATATGGAAATACGAACGACAGATTCCAAACTGAATATATACCCTTTATTTTGAGGTATTATCGCTGACTAGTGTATCCTAGCAACAATAACGACGTACACCGCACTTTCAGACTTTTCCCATCATCATGATAGCAGAACTAAGACAATCTTGACGATATTGTAACTTTAGACTAAATTTTTTCTCTCGTCTTTTTATAATGGTATCTCCAATTATTTTCAATGCTGTATTGCGTCAGTTGTTCGTATAATCAATATTTTGTTTTGTTACAAAAATTAAGTTTTTTGTCGTGTTCAGTGAGAAGCACCTCATGTACGAGCTCATCTCTGTGTTAGTAAAGTAGCATTTATTATTGATCCGTGTTCAGGTGTCACTTCTTAATTCAATGACTGGTAAAGTCTTCTATATAACGTTGAAATATGTTTTGTTTTTCGGTTGTTTAATTCATATAACACAACGCAACGGTTAATATGCTTGTTTTAAAATATTTAATTAAAGGTAATGACTCAATATTAAAAACTATTAGCCCCTTGTTCAAAGTCTTCGCAAGTACAGTCATCCAGCCCCATATGAAAGGGATAATTCGACAATACATAGACGATAAAGCCAAGCAGTCTTATTCTGCACAACTTCAAAAGAAAATATAAAATTAAATCCTAATCTGCCCATGACAAAAAAGCAATGATGGTAGTATTAAAAGGTCTATTTGCATTCGCGGTTAATCATCAGCATTACCAACAAATACATGTATTCATTTATTCGCTATATAATCTACTGATCAGATTATTGGGCTACGACAGGTCCATCTATATTAGCTAGGAGAGTTCTTGTTGTTTAGATATTAACAAGACGTTCTTTAAAAAAATTAGTTGTTTGTTCCCACAAAAAGTATATATTTGCATCGTTTGTTTTATGTCATGGCCAAAATATACTTTATTCATTGTTTTTTTGTGCATTGTTTTGTTGGTTCTGCGCGCCTTTATCTCTTGAATTTACTTTATTCATCCATTCAAGAAAGCGAACCATAAATGTTTATATCGCCAGAACTGTTATCTTTGATTAGCTCGTCATGAGAAGCTACGTTCTTTCTTATGAATGTTACAATTTCAAAAGCACAAAAGTTCTGTTTTTCAGAAATGAATACAGTCAATGCAGGGCCAGTTATGGCATAAAACTACAAACTTCAAAGCACAAAATTGCACGAATAACGTATTTGCTCCAAACTGAAAGATGGCTTACATAGGTATCAATTATTTATTCCATTCCTTTTGGCTTCCAAAAGACGACATTTATCTTCCTTGCATGCAATTAATTATCGTGCAATACTTTAAGTGCGCAATAATTGATCTTGTGATGCCTGTAGGACCAATCGTTGAAGTATATTCAATATTGTCAGACCTTCACAGCTTTTGGTGAAAAGAGACCACAAAATACACACCGGAGAAGTATGCATTACAATATTTTTATGAGTAACTGTGGCTATTAAAATAGAGCGTATGGGGATCAGCCATCCTGTAAACCATTTTGGTTGATATGTTAGAAAATATGTTTATTGTGGAATTGTTTCTTTAATACTAAATTAGAACTTCTGAAGCTATTTCTATATTATATTCTGAGCACCGAACCTACGTGTAAAGCAAAGGAAACCAATAATGCCTTTTTGTCTCATTACAATAGTCATCACAATTATCTAGGTATTCATAAGCACAAGAACGTTATCGTTCACAAATCCAAAAATATAACATCAGGTTTGTTTTAATATTTTAAAAATTACTTGCAAAACATGTTTTATTTTGATACATTCACTTAACTCGCATATAAACGGAACTAAAACACGTATGAAGAAAATGACGTAAGAGGACTGGTCAGAATAAGATAATAAGAAGTAAATCTCTGGTTCTGGTTGATATGACGGTAGGTTCGTACTGTCAATTGGGAGAGTGCTTCTTTTTAGTGTCTGTAATGATTTGCGAAATGCAGTGAAAATAGTCAGCAATCTGACTGGAGTGACTGATCTCACTGGTTTATATATTATATAAACCAGTGAGATCAGTCACTCCAGTCAGATTGCTGACTATTTTCACTGCATTTCGCAAATCATTACAAGAGATTGTTTTATACGAGGCAAAATATTGCCAAGGCGCTGTATTTTATTATTTGATAATGCATATATATTTTGACAATCAGTACTTGTTAAGTATTTTTCCTAACATCCATCTATGTTACAATGTACTAGATTATTTCAACATAGTCCATCTAATATTTCTCCTGTGAATATAATATGTATAATTTGTGTCTAATATCGACTGAAGTTGATGTGTATTTTATTTTCTTGTTGTCCTAACAATACTTTTCCAGTCCAATGTTTATACGACATAATCCTGAATACACATGAAATGCTGAAGAAACATGAAGAATTGAAATGAATCGATCGTGCAATAATTGAAGGGTCAACTTAATTTCTTCAAACTTAATCAAACGCTTATAGAATTATCAGGCTTGAGCAAAATTGACAGGCAGGAAATCATTCAGTGACCAGTCTGTACAAATTAACCAAACACCAGGTTACTTGGGACTATAACTAAATTTTGAACTATAGCCGATAGATCAGATATAAACTATATTAGATTAGGCCTTGCACTGAGAATAGAGATGGAGATATAGAACTGTTTTGATTGCTTTTGGGTTTTGTATTTGATTGAAATGTCATACATATGACCGAGAAAAGACTCAATTTACTTTCATATTCACCATGTTGACTTGAGATGCAATGCATGCAAAGCAATGTCCACACAATACGCATTAATAAATTATTTTAATAAACGTTTATCTGTTACTTGTTTCAAGATTTAAGCTCAGATATTATCCGTAGATTGGGATTTTTTTTATATTATATTAGATACCATGTCAATTGTAAAATATTGTTTACATGATCCTTGATTGTGGAAGGGTAAGAGTTTAAAAAAGTATATAAAAACAAACACAAAAACGAAATAAAAACGCACCGATGCAATAGAGAGTAGATTAAATAATCATGACAAATACGTGTGTTGATCTCTGCAATGCAGGAAAGGATACATGCATGGACAACTGAACTATAAAGCACATATATACAAGAAATTCATGAACAAATGACTTTAAATAATTAATTAAAATATATTTATTTGCACTCATATCCTATCGATATACGGCACTTCAGTCTGAGTCAGTTAAGACAGCCTCATATATACGAAGATTAAGGTTTATGGTTATGGATATCCGTCATGGAAGAACATCACTAGTAGAATTAGTAAACAGCAAATGGGAATATTTTCTTTCTTAAAAAGTAACTGCAGTGTCACCTGGATGATTTTGCCGCTATATTAAGTCTCAAAATATGTATAATAAACAGTATAATAAACATCGTTCTGGATAATTTCATTTGTACGCCTTAAGGTCTATTGGTGTTACGAATAGGTTTTCCAAGGTGGATGAGTGTGTTATAGCCATGTATCATGTGAAGAACAAAATTAGTGAAATGTTATAAATTATTACCTTTTAAAGTTCCGGGACAATTTGTTTTGCACCAACCGTATTAATATAAGTTAAAAATGCAATTTGATAATGTATTTTTCGCGCTTTAGTACACACCATTGAGATAATAGTGAGCTATTGCATTGTAATTTTCTTGCTGCATGAAGAATGAGCAAGATGCAACGAGCGTTATTTGTTTGTATTTACACTGGGTCTAGCATACAATGCGCGTTGCAAACAGCACTATGTCACGAATCGGAGCTGTCATATTGCTTATCTTTCAATTAAACCGGTCCTGGGTGGACCGCTCCGGTGGCCTAGTGGTTAGAGCGTCCGCCTTGGATGCAGGAGTTCGTGGGTTTTATCCCCGGCCCAGTGTTACCAAAAACTTATAAAAATGGTACTAACAACTACCTCGCTCGACGCTCAGCATTAAGACGTTAGAATTAGGACTAGTCGGCTGATGTCAGGATAATGTGACTGGGTGGTACATCATGCTACATGTCTGCGGCATGATGCCCCAGTGCTGGAAATCTATATAAACTGCACACTGTAGACATCGTAGCGATATGACTGAAAAATTGTTAAAGCTAAATTAAAAATCCAAATTACGCACGTACACACAAACCAATTATATGTTTGACACTCATATTCTACAAATACCTGTAACCCTATGACTGTCGACCTTTTCCATATCAAAAATATAGTCGTGTGTCACATTTCTAAGACCAGGCATCAGGGAATGTATAAATCTGGATATATTTGATGTGTAAATATCGCCGCAAGCAGCGTTAATGGATTATGCAAGTCACCAGCAACCCTCCCAGATTATAAAATACGTTAGCCAGTGAAAGGGCTTGTCGTCCTCACACCCAGGTGTTAAAGCATTTGTGTAGGGAAAAGAAGGACGCCTACAGGACGCCTACAGGTGTTCTCACCCGCCACGTAGACAGACAAGCGGGAATACATTGTCAAACTAAGTTTGATTGGGAAATTCCACAACGACATCGAATCGGAATTAAGATAGAGGGTGGGATTAAATCTGAGAGCCGAATTATAACTGACAACTTTCAGAAAATTATCAGTATACCGGAACAGATTAGGAGACGTACATCTTGCCGTTATAAGAATTAAATATACTCGAGAGAAGCCACTTGTAATTTGGCGTGAATCTTAGGATCAGAATTGTAAGAAAAGGAAAAGCTTCAACAAGGTCAGAAAGTTGTTTGCTCGACTTTTGCAAACGTTCCGGCGTCATAATTGTAAGTATTTGTAGCATGTATACTTAATTACTATGATTGTTTTAGTACGTAGAATTACCTTGAAGTGTTTCATTTATAGCGTATTTAAGACATGAATCGGAGTTTACGTAGAGAATTATGTAGATTGCTAGTTCGTCACCGTTAATATTGTAATTCGCTTGTAGGTTACTTTGAAATAACCAGTACCTTTAATAATGCGTTATGCTCGAGTTTAGAAAACGAATAATGTATGCACGATTAGTTATAATAGATGTTTGAAATTATCAGAGAATGGATATTTGAATACTTGTATAACTGATATGAGTTGTGATGTAAATTCTGTAATGGAATTATGAGTATGTACTGATGTGTATCAATTTATTGATGTATGCATACGAGCAATTGTTTCCGTGCCTTTATTATGTTGTGTTATTTTGTTCTGTTTTACCATACAAGAATATATGCGAATTTCAATGTGAATGAATGCGTGACGGGTTAAATTTAAAAGCCTTTTCTGATGATAGGCTGTGTGTAGTGTGAGATGTGATCGCTGAGAAAAATATTGAACCATCCTTGTTTTCGCAGGAAGCTTTTCGGGGACAGAACTACCGGTGCAATTTAGTAGTCTCGAGTCTCTAAGAGGGAGACGGAAGTGAGACTGACAGTGCAGTCGGCGTCGACAGTGTAGTAGACGTAGAGAAGAGGGACAGAAGTTGGAGGAGGAGGAAAGCAGTCGAAAGGAGGAAATAGAGGGGGAGGAGGGGGAGAAGGAAATTAGAGGGAGTCAGGGAGGAAGAGGAGTTCGGAGATAGAAAAGGAATTAGGAGATAGAGAAGAATAAACAGATGAGTAGTACACAAGGACAGTTGGAAATCTCTCACATTAGGAATCAAATGATGCGATAGGCTACAAAAGGGTCGAGCGGAAGATGTGTATTTGGGACATTCGAATTATTGACCATTTAATTATTATTAAATTGTTATTATTGAACTTCACCCTTTATGTATCTTTAATCATTTAACCGTCGGTATTGTTAACTGGGGGCTCGGAGGTGTACATCTAACTTTCACTAAATCAACTTTCTAACCAAAATCGAGCCTTGGTGGGACTTCTACAATAATTTAAATAAATATTGGAAGCACCCCACCCCCAATCCCCCACTAAAACCTCACAGTGGAGCGACCCTTTTACATCGTATTTGGTTTATTTAAAATAACTAAGAGAATTCAAAAATACTCCTGAAATACATACTACAAAATGACTTATTTGTTTACATTTTATTTAATTTTTCTCTTCCGTCACTGAATATTGTTATCTCAATGCTAATTAGTTAAAGTTTATGTCGACAGTCCATTGTTCTTAATTTCAGTCTAAAGATCATGAAAAATTCTTGCCATTAGCTACTTTTTCTAAATAAACCTATATATATATATATATATATATATATATATATATATATATATATATATATATATATATATATATATATATGATAACTATTGTAGTTGTAGATATGAGTTTGCGCTAGCGCGTGTTAAGTCACTTCCCGCAAAACAAGAGTGATTCAAAATTAAGAAAGGACATATTTTAACAATATTACAAACTATTTAGGTAAGATATATGTCAAATTGCACACTTTAGAAAATGGTAATTCGTTAAGCTCTGTTGGATTTAACGGTTGTCACTAATCATGAATGTTAAACTATGATTTGTGCAACTCGCATAAATGACAAGGGGAAGGAAAGAAAAAAGTTAGAACAACTACAACAAAACTGTCTGAGGATTTATATCAGTAACTCTATGAAGTGAACATTTCACATTAGCAAGTTTATGATTGTTGATAAGGGGCAAGCTTAATCAACAAGCGAAAACAAAGTATGAGATTTAGACTAATAGATAATAATAATAAATACAATTTAATTTGTTTTTACTTAGGATTCTTACACATAATATCATTTTTATTTAGCACAATTAATTATATTTTCTGTGTGTTTTTGTGGGTTAGTTTCAATGCCAGAACGGCTGATTAGCACTTTCCAAGTGTTAAATAAACGTAAACATCGTCTTTAGGTTTGAAGTTGTAGGCTCTAAGACCTGTTTTTCATAAAAAGTTGAAACGTTTGGCCGTCTTGCTAATACATGTGATAATTATTAAAGCCACTGTAATCTCTAACAATTACTGATAATTTTTAAATAAAATTTCTTGGCTGACAGCTAGAGCTGACGGGATTATTTCATTTGAAATCAACAGCGAAAGGCTAACAATTCCAAACTATACGTTTGAAATGAATATACCAGATTTAATAGAAACACACAGAGCAGATTTGAGAAATAAATAAAGAAGATTCAGAATCTGAAAATTGAAGGATATTATTTAATTAATATATAAATCAGTTGATGTTGTAGTTTGAAATTAATATGGATTCACTTGGTTTGCAAAAACGGACAGAAACAAATGTTTTAACGTTTCAATGTCAGTATGCAAGTTTAAATAAAAGCAGAATTCCCATAAGAAAGCAACATTTCATCTGAACACTTTGACGAACGACTATAAAGGGCAAACGCTATTGGAACGTTAAAGAATCACGGAGATTAAAATTTAAAGAAGTCGACCATATATCAAGTTATGGCCAGTATTATGTTTTATTTATGACTTGCATGAGCGATACTAATTTTATTAAATGTAGCCATCATTCTTCATTTCCCTTTCATAGATAATGATACAAACATAGGAAACTGGATACAAATATAGGAGAGAGAGAGAGAGAGAGAGAGAGAGAGAGAGAGAGAGAGAGAGAGAGAGAGAGAGAGAGAGAGAGAGAGAGAGAGAGAGAGAGAGAGAGAGAGAGAGAGAGAGAGAGAGAGACGTATAATTAGTATAGACAAACATGAGAGACGTCTCTGAAAAGCGCATCTTCCCTTGCTGGATTCTCATAGGAAACACAATATTAAATGTAAAATAAGGCTTACTTCTTATAAACATAATGCTTAATTAATAAATTCTTAATCATTCTGTGGATTATGTCATAACTAGCTTACACCAGGATACGACTATCATGTTTTCAATGATCATGTCTTCCAAAGTTTGCTAATTTGAAACATGATCTTAATATTAAGAAAAGAATCATTGTATTACGGACGCATGGGTCACTAATATAGACATTAGACAATTTATTAGTATTTCGGGCTCGTCTAAGCCGACACCATTGGGAAATTCACTGCTCAGGAGATGTTGAAATATTCCTCATCACATATATTATGAAGGATTATACCAGGACGAATGTAGATATTATTTATGTATCCAAAATATTTATCTTTGTTGCACAGTGCATTGACAGCAAATAAATGCATGAATTATTACATCTGTCCAAGAATAGATGCATGAATTTTTACATCTGTATACAAATAGATGCTTGAAACATTACATCTGTGTAGAAATAAATGTATGGGTTTTTGCATCTATGTACGAATAGATGCATGAATTAATACATCTGTGTACAAACAGATGCAGTGCCTACAATGCTGCAAGGAATTAGAACAGCGATCAGAACGTTAGCAAGGGATGTAATTGTCTGTGATTCTTTTCTTGTCTTGGGATTTTTCCATAAAACTAAGGGTTGTATCTAAGTATGAACATTTTTTTAAAAAAAATTGTAGGCAGTGTGACACAAGTTTATAAAGCACTCGTATTTAGACCTTTATGATTCATTTCCATTGTAATTATCCTATAAATATTTTGCTTATAACATAATTTTCAGTAATTTCAAAGCTCTTATATTTTGTGCAAAATGTTTCATATGACTTGAATAAAAACCTTTTTGTTTTGTAACATCTTTTCTAGGAAAATATAGGTAGAACTTGAATACAAATATTCTTTTAGATGTTACACTTTCCAGAAGATTGAAAATATTACCCCAAATTTTAATTCCTTTTATCAATTTCCGATACAATTCTCTTTATTTCCAATAAACTTTCGCTCAATCCTGACCGTGTGGCTTGAGTAGACCATTGTCAACTTTTGATGCAATTATACTGGGGCAGCAATTTGATGTCAAATCTGTTTACCCAGGATTACCAAGTTTTGAGGAAAAAAACATCCGCATAGAGAAATGGTACAGACACAATAATGAGAAAAAAAT